ATTAGCACTAAGATCACTTTTATTAAGTTTATCGAAAGAACAACAAACAGACAATAAAGTCAATCTGATCTGCCTTTTAACAATAATTTTTAATCGTTTTAACAAATGAACATGGCTCTAATGATGCTGTACGCCGGTCTGATACGCAGTTAAAACCGTCTGGTTTATTTAGCACAGAGAAGCTTTGTTCCTGTCAAGCAATTCGAACCATCTCCTTTATCGCTCCACCATCCAGTTGATGTCCAACCTCGCTTACGGCAATAACTTTCATGTGAGCTTTTTGAACCGCAAAATGGAGCTGTTCCTGCAGGACGTAGAAGTAAATATACATTAGCGACCAAATGTCAGGTCAAGACGGCTTGTGTATTGGGCAAGTTCTTTTTTCCAGTTTTGCGTTTATAGTTATTTCATTTTTTTTTTATTTTTGCGTTTATATGGACCGAGACAAATTGATCGAAGTCGAAATCAACAAAGGCAAAATAAAGGCCAATATATCTAGCCATCTTGACCAAACAAACCCACTCCATAAAGGATTTGTGTATGAGCTTAAATAGCAACAAAGACGGCGACGGTTACGAAAACGTCACTCAACCCTCGGACGTACACGCAAAGTCATAACCCCACCGTGGTATAGGAGGGGGGTGGTGGACCCCCCCCCTCCCGAGGTTTTGATATGTTAGGGTATTTCGGAACGGTTTTGCCTTCAGTGGAAAGCCTTTGATCTTCTCTTCAAGATGAGGTATATTTTATGAGTGGTGGCGCTGCTGGGGGTCTGTGACGTCAACGAACATGGTCGCCATCTTGGATTTTATCAAAAATTGGAAATCAGGCAGAAACAGTGAGAATGAATATTTTTTGCTTTTAACATGTAAAATAACACATAAATAATTACTTTGCACCATTTTATCCACAAGCCCTTACTTTTATTCCTGAAAGAAGTTGTAAAAACATGCATTTTCACTGAAAAATGGCTTGACTACCTGCTACTTATGACGTCATATCTCGTAACCATAGTAACCGGCCATCGCTACACTCTTATCAAAATCGCGTGAGGGATAAAGGAATAGCTACAGAAAACTTCAGGTGTTGATGTTTTATCGTCTAGGAAAAAAAAAAAGAAAGAAAAACCTTAGGGATGGGGGGTGACAACCACCCCCACGGACGTCCGAGGGTTAAAAAGTGAATTCGCGCTGCCTTCAACTTTATCGCACTTATTCCATTTCGTTTAATTCGTCAAACGTTTCCAATTTGTTTTGGAGCTCAATTCTAAAGGATTGTATAAAACTTAGGAAAAGAAAGAGAGAGTTGTGTTGTCTCGTGTTTCCGTCTTCGACAAAACGTGCAGTTAAGTTCTTTAGCTACAGAAAACTTCAGGTGTTGATGTTTTATCGTCTAGGAAAAAAAAAGAAAGAAAAACCTTAGAGATGGGGGGTGACAACCACCCCCACGGACGTTCGAGGGTTAAAAAGTGAATTCGCGCTGCCTTCAACTTTATCGCGCTTATTCCATTTCGTTTAATTCGTCAAACGTTTCCAATTTGTTTTCGAGCTCAGTTCTAAAGGATTGTATAAAACTTAGGAAAAGAAAGAGAGAGTTGTGTTGTCTCGTGTTTCCGTCCTCTACAAAACGTGCAGTTAAGTTCTTTAGCTACAGAAAACTTCAGGTGTTGATGTTTTATCGTGTAGGGAAAAAAAAAGAAAGAAAAACCTTTGCGATGGGGGGTGACAACCACCCCCACGGACGTCCGAGGGTTAAAAAGTGAATTCGCGCTGCCTTCAACTTTATCGCGCTTATTCCATTTCGTTTAATTCGTCAAACGTTTCCAATTTGTTTTGGAGCTCAATTCTAAAGGATTGTATAAAACTTAGGAAAAGAAAGAGAGAGTTGTGTTGTCTCGTGTTTCCGTCCTCTACAAAACGTGCAGTTAAGTTCTTTAGCTACAGAAAACTTCAGGTGTTGATGTTTTATCGTCTAGGAAAAAAAAAAGAAAGAAAAACCTTAGAGATGGGGGGTGACAACCACCCCCACGGACGTTCGAGGGTTAAAAAGTGAATTCGCGCTGCCTTCAACTTTATCGCGCTTATTCCATTTCGTTTAATTCGTCAAACGTTTCCAATTTGTTTTCGAGCTCAGTTCTAAAGGATTGTATAAAACTTAGGAAAAGAAAGAGAGAGTTGTGTTGTCTCGTGTTTCCGTCCTCTACAAAACGTGCAGTTAAGTTCTTTAGCTACAGAAAACTTCAGGTGTTGATGTTTTATCGTGTAGGGAAAAAAAAAGAAAGAAAAACCTTTGCGATGGGGGGTGACAACCACCCCCACGGACGTCCGAGGGTTAAAAAGTGAATTCGCGCTGCCTTCAACTTTATCGCGCTTATTCCATTTCGTTTAATTCGTCAAACGTTTCCAATTTGTTTTGGAGCTCAATTCTAAAGGATTGTATAAAACTTAGGAAAAGAAAGAGAGAGTTGTGTTGTCTCGTGTTTCCGTCCTCTACAAAACGTGCAGTTAAGTTCTTTAGCTACAGAAAACTTCAGGTGTTGATGTTTTATCGTCTAGGAAAAAAAAAAGAAAGAAAAACCTTAGAGATGGGGGGTGACAACCACCCCCACGGACGTTCGAGGGTTAAAAAGTGAATTCGCGCTGCCTTCAACTTTATCGCGCTTATTCCATTTCGTTTAATTCGTCAAACGTTTCCAATTTGTTTTGGAGCTCAATTCTAAAGGATTGTATAAAACTTAGGAAAAGAAAGAGAGAGTTGTGTTGTCTCGTGTTTCCGTCCTCTACAAAACGTGCAGTTAAGTTCTTTCACGTTCTAGTCGTGCAACGACAGTTAAAAAATGTACAAAAAAGCATGGTGCACGAGCAGAGTTGCTGTTTTGCTAATATAAACCTATTGCTTTTTTGCCATTCTCGTCGTTACTTAAGCTCCCTATTATATAGCTCATAGTTAATAGAGTGGAATGGTTATGAAACCCATCAGACACTTTTGTTATATGTTTTTGTGGACCTGACGATGCACTATGTTAAATAACATTCCTAACATTTTGATCGTATTGACCAATAAAACATCTCATTAATTTATTCCGTCACAATTTGCAAACAGAAACAAAGGATTGTGCACCTTCAGGGAGCTTCCAACATAAACCGCAGGACCATTTTGTCGTTTGTTGTCTTTCATGACCAGTCTTCTCTAATAACTATGTATAACTGGAAAGAGAACTTTTTTCTTGCGCGATCAAAGCGCAAAATCCCAAGGGGGCAGGATTGGGCCCAATTTGCTCGTTCTGTGTGGCATTAGCCAATCAGAACACAGGATTTGCCTGACCTTACTTAAGCGCTGATTTAGCTATACAATAATCTGATGTTAACGACCATCTACAATTGGTTGTTTACGCTCAAGAGGTCTCAAAACATTCCTGTTTTTCAAAGTAAGAAACGGGTTTGATTTGATTTGTTTTGATTTTTTGATTTATTTGTTTTGTCACTTTACAGGTTACATATATTGAAAAATATATATTTTGAAAAAGGCAAACTGAAAATTCCAATGTTTCGAAAAGGCAAAATTGAGAATTCCAATGTTTGGAAAAAGGCAAAACTGGGAATTCCAATGTTTGAAAAACGGCAAAACTGACAATTCCAATGTTTGGAAAAGGAAAGATTTAGAATTCCAATGTTTCGAAATGGCAAAATTGAGAATTCCAATGTTTGGAAAAAGCAAAATTAAGAATTCCAATGTTTGGGAAAAAGGAAAACAGAGAATTCCAATGTTTAAAAAAGACAAAATTTAGGAGTCCAATGTTTGGAAAAGGAAAAATTTAGAAATTCCTATGTTTGGAAATGGTAAAATTGAGAATTCCAATGTATAGATCCATCCATCTACGGATCCATCGACCTATCGATCCAGCGATCTACAGATCCAGCGATCTACCGATCCGGCGATCTATAGATCCATCGATCTACCGATCCAGGGATCTATAGATCAAGCGATCTACCGATCCAGCGATCTATAGATCCATCGATCTACCGATCCAGAGATCTACAGATCCAGCGACATACCGATCCAGCGATCTACCGAACCAGCGATCTAGAGATCCATTGATCTACAGATTCATCGATCTACCCATCCATCGATCTATCCATCCATCGATCTACAGATCCATCGATCATGAGATCCAGCGATCTACCGATCCAGCGATCTACAGATCTAGCGATCTACAGATCCAGAGATCTACCGATAAAGCGATCTACCGATCAAGCGATCTACCGATCCAGGAATCCAATTGATCTAGCGATCTACATATCCAGCGATCTATCGATCCAGCGATCTATAAATCCATCGATCTACCGATCCAGCGACCTACAGATCCAGCGGTCTACAGATCCAGCGATGTACCGAACTGGCGATCTACAGATCCATCGATCTACAGATTTATCGATCTACCGATCCATCGATCTACAGATCCAGGGAGCTACCGATAAAGCGATCAACCGATCCAGAAATCTACCGATCCAGCGATCTACAGATCCAGAAATCTACCGATAAAGCGATCTGCTGATCCAGGAATCTACCGATCTAGCGATCTACAGATCCAGCGATCTACCGATAAAGCAATCTACTGATCCAGCGATCTATTGATCCAGCGATCTATCGATCCAGCGATTCCCCGATCCAGGAATCTACCGATCCAGCTATCTACAGATCCAGCGATCTATCAATCGAGCGATCTACCGATCCAGCGATCTATAAATCAATCGATCTATGGATCCATCGAACTACCGATCCAGCGATCTACAGATCCGGTGATCTACCGATCCAGCGAACTATAGATTAATAGATCTACCGATCCAGCGATCTACCGATCAAGCGATCTATAGATCCATCGATCTACCGATCCCGCGATCTACCGATCCAGGAATCTACCGATCCAGAGATCTACCGTTAAAGCGATCTACCGATCCAACGATCTATAGATCCATCGATCTAGGGATCCATCGATCTACCGATCCAGCGATCTACAGATACAGCGATCTATCGATCCAGCGATCTATAGATCCATAGATCTACCGATCCAGCGATCTACCGATTCAGCGATGTATAGATCCATCGATCTACAGATCCAGCGACGTACCGATCCAGCGATCCACCGAACCAGCGATCTAGAGATCCATTGATCTACAGATTCATCGATCTACCCATCTATCGATCTACAGATCCAGCGAACTACCGATCCAGCGTTCTACAGATCCAGCGATCTACCCATCCAGGAATCTACCGATCCAGTGATCTACAGATCCAGCGATCTAAAGACCCAGAGATCTACCGATAAAGCGATCTACCGATCCAGGAATCCAATTGATCCAGCAATTGGCATATCCAGCGATCTACAGATCCAGCGATCTATCGCTCCAGCTATCTACAGATCCATCGATCTACCGATCCAGCGATCTACAGATCAAGCGATCTACCGATCCAGTGATCTACCGAATCAGCGATCTAGAGATCCATTGATCAACAGATTCATCGATCTACCGATCCATCGATCTATCCATTCATCGATCTGCAGATGCATCGATCTACAGATCCATCGATGTACAGATCCAGAGATCTACCGAAAAAGCGATCTATCGATCCAGCAATCTACAGATCCATCGATATCCAGATCCAGCGAGCTACAGATCCAGCGACCTATAGATCCATCGATCTACCGATCCAGCGACCTACCGAACCAGCAATCTAGAGATCCACTGATCTACAGATTCATCGGTCTACCGATCCAGCGATCTATCCATCCATCGATCTACAGCTCCATCGATTTAGAGATCCAGCGATCTACCGATCCCGCGATCTACAGATCCAGCGACCTACCTATCCAGGAATCTACCTATCCAGGAATCTACCTATCCAGCGATCTACAGATCCTGAGATCTACCCATAAGGCGTTCTACCGATACAGCGATCTACATATCCAGCGATCTACAAATAAAGCGATCTATAGATTCATCGATCTACCGATCCAGTGATCTACCGATCCAGCAACCTTCAGATGCAGCGATTTACAGTTCCAGCGATCTACCGATCCAGCTATCTACAGATCCAGCGATCTACCGAAGCAGCGATCTAGAGATCCATTCATCTACAGATTCATCGATCTACCCATCCATTGATCTATCCATTCATCGATCTACAGATGCAGCGATCTACCGATCCAGCGATCTAAAGATACAGAGATCTACCGATAAAGCGATCTACCGATCCAGGAATTCAATTGATCCAGCGATCTACATATCCAGCGATCTACAGATCCAGCGATCTATCAATCCAGCCATCTTCCGATCCAGTGATCCTCAGATCCAGCGATCTACCGATTCAGCGATCTATAGATCCATCGATCTACGGATCCATTGATCTACCGAACCAGCGATCTACAGATCCGGCGATCTTTAGGTTTATCGATCTACGGATCCATCGATCTACCGATCCACCGATCTACACATCCAGCAATCTACAGATCCATGGATATCCAGATCCAGCGAGCTACAGATCCAGCGACCTATAAATCCCTCGAGCTACCGATCCAGCGATCTACCGATCCAGCGATCTACCGATCCAAGAATCTACCGATCCAGCGATCTACAGATCTAGCGATCTACAGATCCAGAGATCTACCGATAAAGCGATCTACCATTCCAGCGATCTACCGATCCAGGAATCCACCGATCCAGCGATCTAAAGATCAAGCGATCTACAGATCCAGAGATCTACCGATCCAGCGATCTACAGATCTAGTGATCTACAGATCCAGAGATCTACCGATAAAGCGATGTACTGATCCAGCGATTTACAGATCCAGAGATCTAGCGAGAAAGGGATCTACCGATCCAGCTATCTACAGATCCATTGATACCCAGATCTAGCGATCTACAGACCTAGCGGCCTACAGATCCAGCAATCTACCGATCCAGCGATCCGGCGATCTATAGATCCATCGATCTACGGATCAATCTATCTACCGATCCAGCGATCTACAGATCCAGCGATCTATCGATCCAGCGATCTATAGATCCATCGATCTACCGATCCAGCGATCTACAGATCCAGCGAGCTACCTATCAAGCGATCTATAGATCCATTGATCTACCGATCCAGCGATCGACCAATCTAGGAATCTACCGATCCAGCGATCTGCAGATCCAGCGATCTACAGATCCAGAGATCTACCGATAAAGCGCTCTATCGATCCAGCGATCTATAAAACCATCGATCTACGGATTCATCGATCTACCGATCCAGCGATCTACATATCCAGCGACCTATCGATCCAGCGATGTATAGATCAATTGATCTATTGATCCAGCGTTCTACAGATCTAGCGATCTACCGATCCAGCGATCTATAGATCCATCGATCTACGGATCCATAGAACTACCGATCCAGCGATCAATAGATCCATCGATCTACCGATCCAGCGATCTACAGATCCAGCAATCTACAGATCCAGCG